TGTGAATGTGTTTAATTATAAGTAGGTAGGGCCGGGCAGGTTGGCACAGTCTCTGGTCGCGTGTCCCCTTTTCGCGTGTCCCCTTTTCGCGTGTCCAACCTGTTTCAGGAAATCTAATTTGAAAAATCGACAGTGAAATTGGTAGAAATGGAGTGTGCCACTTGTCTCTGGTTTTACTCTTCGATTTTTCGAATTTAGTTTCGCGGTCGCGGTCGCGGATAGGTCGCGAGTAGGTCCCGAAACGGACGTTTATGCAGGTATTGCTCGAGCACGCACGTGCGTACGACTAACGATCACTATGATCGATGGTCGTCCATGTGTATCATGGTCAGCTTTCGCGATTTATCTTTTCATTTCACCTTTATAAGTTATTTTTTAGTTTGCGATTAGAAAGACTCGAGCTAGATGTAAGTTTCAGCGGGCATTGCGCTCGAAAAAGGAAGAGGCTAACAGCCGAAGAGGCCCGGCAAATTGCCACGAAGAGGGTCACAACAAATGGTTTCTCATCTTCTGGATCATTTAAATGATTCCATAGCATGGGAAGTCATTCTCGTTGCTACTTTGTCACTATGCTCTTTTAGTATTTGTAGTTGTATTTTTGTTTGTTCTTCTCCATCATCGTTCATCATCGTTTTGGGAAAATCGCGTTTTTCTTGTTAGCGTTGCGACAGATTGATTACGGTTTATATTAGAGTTGCGAAAAAATGATAATCGTGTTTGCTTTAAAGTTGCGAATTATGATACCGCGATTGTCTTTGAATTTTGATTATGAATTTTTATAGTTGTTTTAGAATTATAAAATTTAGAGTAGTAAAATTTATTTGGTTTCTATTGTTTTAAATTAAATTATATAGTCATTGCTTTTAATCAATTTTATAGTGTTGGAATATTCGAAGTAGCTTTTTTTTATACAGTTTTTTATTGATCATATTAATTTTTATTGAATTTAGTTTTAAAGTTAGTATTGTGATATTATTTCATCGCGATTTCCAATTACTTTTACTGCTACAATAGTGTTGCGATATTGTTCCATCGCGATTTCCAATTAGTTTTCCTCTTAGTGCTGCGATAATGAATAATCGGGTTTCTTGAAGTAGCGTTGCGTTTATAAAATGCCCAAATTCTTCCACTGGATTCGTGGAAGGCTGTTCCTGCTCTTGGATTACCTGTTGCAGCTACAAGAGCTGTACAAAGATGATCTTTCATCTGCAACCAGCATGGTTGCACTAGACGCGTCGTAATTAGTGTTGCGTATTTCTAAAGATGAGTGCATAGATTAATAGAGTTGCGTCTTTATTTTTTTGGAGTTTTTGAATGACGAAGCACTCTGCGCGTTTTAAAAATTTCCTATTTTTCAATTAATACTAGTGTTGCGAAATTAGATACGGTTTTTTTCTCAGGTTCGTAATGAAGATGATTGTATAGCAGCCCTTCTGGCTGGTTATTGTATTGTTGAGTAGGAAATGCCCTTCTGGCTATTGCATTTTCTTTTTCAGTGGTTACTTCTGGCTAATGTATCGCGATTTTCTTTTTAGTGGCCCTTCTGGTCACTGAGTTAGGCCACTGTTTTAGATTTTTTTTTGTCAGGAATTCTGCTGGTTACTGGGTTAGGTTTTCTTTTTCAGCATCCCTTACTATTGCGTTTGTTACGAAAATACTGCTAAAAAATGTATTTTTTTTATTAGCTATAATTTCATTAAATTTTATTATTATAAATTTAATATATTCACATATATGAAAATGTAACTGATTTGATGACTCAATTGTCAACAATAAAGTGAAATTTTATAAATATTTGAATTTGATATTCAAAGTTTATTCACGATCATCGGTTATTTGTAACAAAAATCTTGCAATGAACATATTTTTCGCAATTCCTTCTATTTTTCGTGCTATATGATCAATAAATAAATGGTTGAAAAATAAATTAAAATGTGATTTTAATCAAATTTTCTTTCATGTGTCAAATGTAAATTTTCAATCTTTGATTTATTCAATGTACGTTAAATCCAATCACTAGAGTTTCTTGCTTTCTATTTTCATAATTTTGAGTAAAAATTATGTAATTTAATTTAGTTAATAAAATATTGTTATGAAATAGTATTTTGACGGTTGACCTGATTTTTTTTTGCGTGTGTAATATGTTTTCATTGCAGATCATTTTATTTTATCTTTTTATTTAAATTTTAATACTAATCCAATATATAAGTTTTTTTTCAGATACATTAACTTACAGAGAGTATTAGTTACAGAAAATATACGGAGACATGTACACAAAAAGATTTAGAATGATGGAATATGAATCTTTCAAAGAAAGTGACTAAGTGGAAAAAATTGTTTCAACATAATGATGTTTCATTCAACTGCAAGTAATAGTTATATTTTAGAAATTTTACTAATCTTTTTCAGTTTCTTACGTTCGTTTCAGGTACACATTATAGAATCGATCGAAGAAGACTTTGCGGTTGTTTGGCAATATTGTAATGAATTTCAAAAATCATGTTTCTGGCGCATTTACTTCTTGACTAACTTCGATCGTTTTATGATGTAGTAGTTCCCCAACTTACCTTTGTTTAAAGGTAGAATGCGTTAAAAAATCAGTGATTTTTTTATTATATTGATATTTCATATCACGGGCCACAAAATTGCGTAAGATGATTGGTCTATTCATATACGTCGTCTGTACCGGAGATCTTGCTACGTTTGTAAGTTGTAAAGTTGTAAATTTGGGAATTACATCAAAATTAGAAATAAAGGCTCTATTTTTTATATAACGTTTCTAGTTGGAGCATCGTATTCTAAAATATGATATATTTGAAGAGCTACAAAGCAATTAAAGACTGTTCACGCACGTGAAATTATACTTCTTTCTTCGATGCGCGAGATTCATTTACCATTAAGGATGAATTAACTACAACCAGGTATATAAATATGATTATGATTCGTTACGTTTTGTATAACATCGCACATTCAGTTTATTTGAATTATTAGAGTAATGCATTCAGTCGGCAGGGAAAATACAATCCTATATAACTATATGTTACACAATATAGAAGTTTGGCACTCGGATCGGTTCATCTTGGGGATGTAAAAAAGCCTAACTGTTCGTTTCTAACATATTCATTAATCAACACATGTATCTCTGTTAAAAATGTCTTATCTCCTTTCGCCACACGATCGGAACTATCATATTAATGCGTATGCCTGCGAATTTACGAAACAGTGTCTTCTATGTAGGAGTGTAAATATTTTATATATTTATATATAATAATAATAATAATTACCGTTATTATTATCATTATCACTATATTAACATCGACGTTAGAGCATTTTCTTAATTATACGTTTTCTAGGATTTTTCTTTTTTTTTTTCCTTCTTTTCTCTTTTTAATAGAAATCATGGTTAAGGTCACTGTGAGTTTGCGCAGCCCTAAGAGACACAAACATTTAACTATCCCTCGAAAAATCGGCGAGCGCGCGAATCAACAAGTCGTTGTCGATTGATCGAGTGATTTATTAATTTATCTTAATATTGAAGAGAATTTGCGAATCGTTATTGTGCGTTCTATACGTCGGCCGATGGTTACGAAATACTGCAGTAATAAAATCTGTCGTTGCTGTTGAAAAAAATTGATCGACAAGTTTCAATGAACTTAACCTTCACGACGTCGACGAGATAAATATAAGTGTTTTGGTATACAGAAAATGACATCGTTATTTTTCTAGGGACAGAAAAAGATGTTTCATGTATTTTTCCGAGTTAGTTTTTCTTCTTCGAATTATGACGAATCCCTTTTGTTTCTATTGTGTGGAAAATTGTTGCCCGAATGGTAAGATAGTGTATCGGAAAGAATCGGGAGCGACCTCATGTGATGTGACGAACAATGAAATTCAAAAACGTCGACGTTGTACGACGCAGAACAGTACAAATACGCAGGAATCGTGTAAAAAAGATATGTGCGTACTGGAGTATTTCTGGTTGTACTGCGTGCTTTGAATGTGCATATTTTTGTTTTTTTTGTTTTTTAGAAAAGTCGCGAATACTCCTATTTATATATTTGTCATATGTATATAAACCTGAAATGCGCAGTCCGTTTTGTAGTTATTTTCTTTACAAAATCTCTTCGAGCGAGTATGCGCAACGTTTTGCGTCTGACAATACCTCTAAGTACTCCCGATGTTCTCGAGTGAATATTCCCCGTCTCATTTACCCTCGATATTCTATCGGTTGTGTATAATAACGATGGTTTTCCTTTTTGGGTTTCGTAAAAAAAAAAAAAAAAAAAAAGAGAACGATACTCGTGTATCGATGAAGGAGGGATGACGCTACGAAGCATCGAAAGAGAAATATCCTGAGTGACGTAGATTTGGCTGAAAGTGAACGAGCTTCGAAAACGATCACCGACCAGATTTGACGTTGGTCGTTTTGAATCTCGAATCTTCTTTTCATCCAACCGAGGAAATCGACAGTGAAATCGACATCGTGCAGGCCTCGTGGAAAAATTCTTACAAGAGTTGAGAGATAATATCTTAGGCACATTCGATCCATAATAGCGATGATAGTCTTGGGTTTGTATTCTTTTATATTTAACGAGTTCAGCTCACCCGGAATCGCAGGGATTGCAGTACTAACAAGATACACCGCGAAACATTTTACGTGCAAACCACGCAAAAAGATAATCCTTTACTAGTCCGAATATATTACTTGGCGTTCTTGTCAGAGTCTATGATGTGAAAAAGAAAAAAAGAACGAAAGAATCGATGGAAACTCTGATGCTCGACTTATTGGTTAACGATCACGTACAATCTTAATATATATACGGAGCAATGAATACTCGTTAATTATTAACAACGTAATTGGGTACGTGTTGTTATCGAGGCTTCGTATTACGCAAGAGCGCGTCGGGAAAAAGAGTTTCCGTCAAGGTATCGGTATAAAATCGAGGCTTTCGGTAATATTCCCATCTCGCAGAGTCAATTATTATTTCTTTAGGCACATTAAGACCATAGTTAATCGACAATTAGTCTCAAGAACTTCGTAACAAAAAACAGTCTTCGAGTTTTGTGAAAGTGTTACGGCCTGTTTCGCTTTGATCGCGAACAGCCCTCCTTTTGCTAGACCCAATACTGATTTCTTCTTAGCAAGGGGTTGTTGGTCCGCTGTGTGGTGGCCGACTGACAAGGTAGATCGGACGTGTCGAAGCTGCTCCATTCGTCTCCATCCGCGACACCGTACGGATACTTTGCTGAAACGTCCACTTCAGATCCTGTGATACTTTCCAAGGGACTCAGAGGTATCACCTTGCATTGAGGTAGGGTGGACGTCATCGTTGGTAGAACTGGTAAGGGCGTGCTGGCCGCCACGCTATTGTGATCGTTGGCGTAACGTTTTACATGAGGTGTTACAGGCATCAAGTGATCCGGAGGTCTTGGAAGAGGCATTACACCAACCGCCGGAGTCGGTTCTGGTTTCTCTTCCTCGGCATGTTTGTATTTGTTTTGCCTACACCTGATGGTAATGATCACTACTACACCGAGCAAAAATACGCCAAGAAGCATCCCTAAGATTAACAAATAATCGTTGCTCATATTCGGCGCGATCGCCATTTCACCTTCGTGACCAACTGGATCCATTGGACCACCCAGCGTGATATTATACTCGTCCATGTCGAGTTTAACGCGAAATTCGAAGTCACCGACGGCTGGTTGAAAAATAGAGGCCGCTAAGACAAATGCGAAGCTATCTAATACACCCTCGTACTCCATCGTTGGAATTTTTCTGCAAACCATGTAAATCACGCCCGACATCACTTCCTGGTGAGAGAACTTGGTCACTTCTTTCTCACGAGTTCCTCGTTTCTCACCGGAAGACGAAGAACTTCTAATGATCCTCTTTATCTTACCAAATTTCGGCTTTTTTACGATCGTGTACGTGGGATTGCTGCTCGTTAGCTTAGCCAACGGTGTAGCATCCATGTGTTGCAACGTTATTCTAGTCTTCTCGCCTGCCAGAGCGACCATAGAGTTCATAATCATCAGGGGTACTACCTTGATTTCGATTCTAATGTGTTTCTGTTCGAATCCGCTCAGTCGCGCGGCCAGTTCGAGACTGTCGTTCGATACGGTCATGTCCGTTTGCATGAACATTACGCTTTTCGACAGCAAATCTGTTTGCTTAAAGCTAGCCGCCGCCCCGTCACGTACGTACAACACTCCGTACTTTGGAGTCGTCGTTACTTCGTAAATGACCAGATCTTGTCTCGCGTTAGTGTCGAGTTTCACGTTGCTCTCGGAAATTAGAGCTACATTGGAGCCTTGCTGCAGACTCACGGGACTTGGAACGGTAACGTTCAGTTTGATAGGCAAAACGTACACGTTGAACACCGTATACACTGGATTGAAACGACCATCCCATACACGGAAGTAAAAGGAAGCCGCTTGAAGAGGCCCATTGTGTTCGTATACCAGCCGATTGGAATCGACGTCGTGCTGGGTGAATTTGTTCACTTGACGAACTTCCGAGATATTCTCGTTGAATGGTAGAAGCAATAAGCGACCGTACGTCGGCCTAGATATCACATCGTATACAATTTCCTCTGGCGGCGTGTCTGGATCAGTTGTCAGTAAGTTCTCTTTGGTTATCGTCTGATTTTGATTCTGTACCACCGTAATGGACGGCGCGTTTGTGTTTAATTTGAACGGTTCGTCGTTCACTGGCTCGATTATTACCGGGATGCTGGTGTTGCATAGGAGGATGTGGCCAGGAGTCAGATAAAGAGAAAAATTGATGCGGTCCTCTAAGGTGTCCGAATGATCGTGATAATACGCGATTTTTCCACCCTCGATTTGCGGCTGGGAGAAAGTGGTGACATTCAAATCTGGAAGAATCATCACGTGGCCGTGGCTCGGTTGACTGACCAATCGCGAGAGTACCGCTGGATTCTCGATACCAGCGTGAGCTTGAAGAAATGATACAATCCCGCTGATGTTCATGATAACTTCAGCCGAACCACCCTCCTGGACTCTCACGTTCTTTATGGAGATGTATCTGTCTAGACCGCCACTGGAAACTGAGATATCTATTTGAAACACCTGCAATGGAAAATACGACACGGTAAAGAAGATTTCACACGCGGATGTGATACTCAACGAGTATTAAAATTATAATCTTGCCTGATTGGTTAAGGATTCCGCGAAGCGTGCTTCCACGTCGAACGTAAATGAATCGTTGGCGGTCAAGTCCATAAATTGCTTGGTGTGTTCGTAGAAAACTTTGCTATCGTTAATGTCTTTCTGTGTGAATCGATCAACATTCAACCACGCGCCCTCGCTCGTTTCCATGATGATCCTACCGAGATGCGGCCCGTTTCGTACCGTGTATTTTATTTCTCGAGATTCGTCCGAACATCTCGTTAACAGTAATTTGCTCGTTATCACTTTTCTCGTTAATGGAAAAACATTTGGTGCTGCGTTCTGCTCGATAATCAGTCGAACAGGTTTAGTGGCTACCAATATCGTATAAGATTCCGTGGTGTGTACACCGTCGTGTAACACGAAATTGAATTCAGCGTCGGAGTCGTCTGGAACATAAAATCTTTTAAGAAATTGAAGTTTACGAGTAAATCGTAGAAAACTCCTCATCACAAAATGCGCAACACTTACTCGTATGGGTGAACATGATTTTCGACTGGTCGATCTGTTCCTGCGTGAAACTATAAACGTCTATCCCCGGAGAAGACTTTAACGAAATCAATCCGTTTCTAACTCCGCTGATGTTGTACGTTATATCACGCGCCGCGGTATCATTGTCAACAGCCGCTAATTTATCAGGTGTCAACGTGATCGAACCACCTTGCCAAACGGTTAATTTAGTCCTGTTAACGAGTAGAGGTACTTCGTCATTCACTGGTTGTATCGTAACCCAAACGTCAAAGGGTTCGCTGGTTTTATCGCCGGCAACGAGTACCATCTTGAACGAATCTTTCGAAGATTCGTCGCCGTTGTGTTTGTACAATATTATTCCACCGGTCAGATGTTTCTGCGAGAACTTCTTCACCTGAGAATTCTTGGTCGATTCCAAAATCATGCCGTGTTTCGGCTTTTCCAGAACTCTATAGTCCGTCACTTTGCCGGAATAATAAGGGGTTAAAATGAAGAAATTTGTTTCGTCGAGAATGGTACTCTTTCCCTCGATCACGACAACGCCCTTCGCTTCGACGTAAAGCTTTTCCGGAACGATCACAAAGTTCACGCAAAGACCACGCAGCCACGTTATCCCATTCGTTACGTCGACGACAAACTTGTCGTTCGTCTGATTCATCACGGACTGTACGTAGAACACGCGACCCTCGTTTATCATGCTTTGATCGAAAGACTTCACCGCGTTCCCGATGTAATCTTCTCGTGTCTCGTCGCTGTGCTCGTCGTGAATCTGTAGCTCCAGATATCCATTTTGCGGCCACTCTTTCAGAAAATAAACTATTTCAGAATCAGGTATCTTGGGATGCATGATCTCGAGGCTCTTTCTGCTTAATAAAATACTAGTAGCCTCCTCCACGAACATCGTTTTGTTGTTTTGCACGGTCAACGGCTGCCAGTAGCTTTCGGGATAAATCTTAATTAGAAATGTCCCCTCTGCCTCTGCTCCTTTCGCCGACACTTTGAATCTAAAGTCGTCCTTCACCAATGATCCTCCGAGATGTTTGTACAAAATTATACCGTAACGTAGATTCTCTTTGTTGAACGTGTTCGTCTCCCTGCCGTGCTTCAACAGCACCCCGTGCTTTGGTTTCTCTAAGATCGCGTACTTGATATCCTTGTCGGAGGTGTACACGTTCGTTTCAACATCCAACTCGTTCGGTCGAAGAGCAACCGATCGATTAAATTGCACCACGGACCCGTTGCTCTCTCTCAACCTCACGTAAGGAGGGCTGGCTTGAATTTCGAGAACGCCAGCCGTGTAAAAATGACCGTCGGTAACGCCGAACTCGAACTTTCCGTGGTCCTCGCCCTGATGTTTAAACAGTATCTGATTGTCGTCGATGTCTTGTTGACTGAACTCGTGTATCTGCGACGTGGGATTGGTCACCCTGTATATTCCGTTCTTCTGCGTATCTCTTCTTGTGTAGATCAGATCGCTGGGTTTCGTATCGATGTCCTTGTCTATGTATGCGAGATCTTTGTTCGTCAGCAATCTCTCGCCCTTCGAGACCACGTGGAACACCTTGTGAACCACACGTTCTGGAGCGTTGTCGTTCTTCATCGTGACCTCGACGCGGAACAGGCCAACGTACATAAAATCCACCGCGTCCGAGGCAATAGCGACGTACTGGAACGAATCTTCCCTCGTCTCCGAGTCGTCGTGAACGTAATAGACTTTTTGGGACGAAAGTTCCTCGGAAGTGAAATAGGAGGTGTTGTTGCGAGAGTGAGATTTGGAGTTGTTTGTGACGGTCAACCAACCGTGATGGGGAACTATCGTCAAGTTGTACATCAGCGACGTAACTCCGTAATCCCTTGGATTCGTTCGTAGAATTCTTAAAGTCGCTCTGGAACCTTCGTCGACCCTCAGAGTTTCGACGCTGTCCAAAGGTTTTACGTTCTTGCTGAGGTAATGCCTGAACTTCAGGATCGAGTGCAAATCGATGCACTGCGGGGCGCTCACTTTGAAGGCGAACTCGTCCAGTATAGTGGAATAGGCCCTTTTGAACAGTCGGTATCGCAGTTTGCCGGAGTCGATGTCCTCTTGCGTGAACGTGTCGCCGGTATCTAATCTCCGACTCGAGAGGAACAGATTACCGTACCTTGGTCCCGTTGTTACGGTGAACGCGATCTTGTTGAACGCGGTTATCAATGGATTCGTTTGGTACCGCAGATTCTGCCCGGTGACAGTCACCTCTGCCACGTTGGTGAAATTGATCGGTACTCTTTTCGTTTCTTTCAGCTCGAGATCGATGAAGGTGATGCGAAAATCGTAGGTGTGCTGCGCCCTTACCTCCCTGACGCTCGCCTGAAACTTGAACTCGTCTTGATTCGGGCTGCCCTCGTTGTGGAGGTAGCGTATCGCGTGCAGTTCGATATCCCTGCTGGTGAAATGATCGACGTTCATCCAGCTACTCGAGACGTCCTTCAGCTTTTGAATCGTGCCAAATTGCGGCTGCGAGACGATATCGTAGCGTATATCAATAGTGTTGTCGTCGGAATTGGTGGTGAAAGAGAGATTCGCCGGTGTCAGGTACGAGTAAGACCGATGCACCACGACCAGTCCTGTATTGTGCATCAACTTGATTTCCAACGGATGAGCCGCCACCCTCAGACTCGCTGGCTGGCTGCTTTCTATACCGTCGCTCACCCGAAGATCGAGCTTTGCGTTCGGTTTCGCTGAAAAACGCAATTCAAGCGAACGGTTCAATCATTGATAAATAGATATAGCTACCGAACAGACGGCAATAATGTTTGTGTTGTATAGTGAATATCGATGAAGCTGTTACCGTTTCCGCGGTGTACGTATGCAATTAATCCTTGCATCAATTCAGCCTGGGTAAACGTGTCGATAGGTCGCGACGGGTAAGTTACTCTTTCCACATAGCCAGCATCCGCGTCGGTATGTAAGACCGTGTAAACCAACATGTCTGACGGCGTGTCGGCATCGATCGCCCAAATTAATTCTTTCGTCAAGATTTTCCTCGTACCCTACGGATCATTAAACGATCAAGTCGATTAAGTCTTCATGATAATCGAGTTCGGCTGAAGGAGAGAAGGGAGGAGCAATTCGATTGTAATCTCGTCGTAATCGAATAAAAAGAAAGAAATTGGAAACGTGAATGAATTTTCCGTTGGACCGTGTTTTATAACGTTTCCACACGGGACGGTGCGGGGGACGGGGAGGGGGAGGGGGAGGGATAAGGGTGGGGGGGGGGGGGCCGATCTTCACGATGGAAAGAAATTATTTCATTTAAGAAGATGGCAACTCTGAGTGGTTAATTAGGGGCAACGGCTTGAGCGACTTAAATCGATTTCGTTACGACTCGGCCGCCACGCTTGTCCAAAGATACGAACACTGCAAACAGGCCACAATTTCTCCAATTCTCCGATTAATTGATTTAGCGAGGCAGCGGCAGGCATTCAGACTATCTCGCGTCAATTAGGTTCACGTGCTTTCGAGTCCTCGGCATTGGGAGGATTGGTTGCTCGAGTGAAAAATTCTGGCTCGTTCGATAGAGGAATTATAGTTGTTTTTTGTGTCTTACTTGGGCGAGACGTAGAACTTTCGCGGTCGATATTTCGAGCAACGGCGGATCATTAACGGGCGTAACGTTGACATGAAGCGGAAACCTAAGTCGTCCTCGTAGATAGCCTGGCAGCGTGTAACCAGCTCCTGCCACTAATGTCACTTCCAGGATCATGCTGTCCTCTGTGGTTTCACTGCCGTCGTGCATGTATTGTATCTGCCAAGGAATTTCATCGCAATAATGAGACAATGTAGCGCGCGGTAAACAATGTTTCTAGTACTTATGAATATGTATGTCTCCCTCACCGTGATGCCGGTGTAAATATGTAACGACAACGCTTTATAACAACGTCGGCAGTCGTTGGTCTTTACGATTCATCGAGCATGCTAACTTTCGTGAAAACTCGAAAGAAAAATCGTCGGCAGACTGGCTGTTAACGAGACATTTATTTCATCTTATTTCATGATTTATTCACGACGAGCGGATGATGCGTTCGCGAGCTGAACTTTCCAATCCCTACCCCGGCAATGCCGACGATATTCTTAACGAACCAATAAATTCCCTTAATATTTCGAAACTCGTATCTTCCGCGTGACTTGCCGTTTTTAAAATTAAACTTCCTTAAAGACTTTCCCCTCGCGCCCCTTTCCCGGTCGGTGAATCATTGCCGGTACTAAATCTGCCGTCTGCTCGCAGTTAAAATTAATTAAAGCGGCCAGGGGCCAGCTTATAAATCGGCGATTAGCATACTCTGGATCGACGCGGGGATTCTTCTCGTTCTGACTGCCGGGATTTTTTGATAAAATTCCGCTTACTTGAACTTCGAGGGGAAACGTTTACCGAATAAAAAGTTTCCATCCCCGAAAGGAACCGTTAATAAGCGGTGGTGGTGTTTATAAATAGATCCGGTGTCGCTGGATAAATCGGGTGCATGCAGAAGAGGAACAGACAACCGAGATTTCTGACGACACGAGTTCGCCACGCGGTCCCCCACCCCCCCAACAGGTTCTAAAGTTAGTCCTTGTGTCGCGGACTATCTATAGCTCGTGGCCTTATGACAAACTGGAAGAACACATGATTTTCCACGTTTTCTTTGTGCTTGTGCTGGAGTTTATCGGTAACCTGTTAGATCGTTCTTGATCACGATCCTACGGATGTTGGCAAAGTATTCTACGCCCACGGAAGCAGGAAGACACTTTTACCTTATCTCGATTAATGTCTTGAAGAGTGAAGGAATGCTCGGTTCTGGTCGTCAAAAGGTCCAGGGCCAGAGTGCCATATGTGGGCGGGGTTACCAAGGTGAAGATAACACCGTCTTCTTCCACCCCATATTTAGCAATGTCTAGTACCATGGCTATGTTATCGCTCGTCACCAGCACGTGTCCACCCTCGGACAGCACCAGGGGACTCAGCGAGAGCATCTCCAAGTTCACCGGCAAATTTGCCCTCGAGTAGATCTATCGAATTTGATAATCGGGGCAATTTGAAGCTGCGCAAGTGTAAAAAAATAAAATCGAAAGAGAAAGTGTACTTTGAGTTTGAGAGTTTGTTTCAAGAAAAGGTGTGAAAGAAGTGGCTGCAAAGTACGAGGACTCGTCGAAGGGAATTGGTCAACGTTTACCTTGTAATCCTCGGCGTAGTTCGGCTTGATGCACAGTGGTTGATCACAGTCGCATTTGAACGAGCTGACACCTAGTTGCGAGCAAACTGCCTCCGGGACACAGGGATCAGCCTCGATACAGGGAAATCCCCAAACGCAGCCAACAACGATACCCTGACTGATTTTAACGTCCGGCAGGCCGAGTTCCTTGTTATCCAGCAGCATACTTCGCAGACAGCCCTTGTAGCTCACGTCACCGGACTTGAGGCCTTTGCCGAGCGCCCTGGCGCGTTTATTCAGCTCGGTGCCGCCGATGTACAGGGTGTCAGCCAGATCGAGGTAACGATTACCACCGGACGGCAGAGTGATCGTTTTTTCCTGACGGTCGACCGTGATCCCGATTCCGCTCGGATTGAAATCAACGGCCACCCGATGCCACTTGCCGTCCGCCACCAGCGTGCCGTGTGTCAACTCGGTCGGCCCGTTTCCTTTGTTCATCAGAAGTCGAATTTTACCCTCGAATAACTCGATACCGAGGTAATCGGCGTACGACGATTGCCCGGTGTTGTAGAGCAGCAGGCCGCTCTCCGCGCCGGTCTTCAACTCGAATTCCCATCTACGAAACAAAGAAGGGAAGGGGAGGATCGATCGAATCGGGCAAAATTGAAAGGAGGAAGTCGTTCGTCGGGAACGGGGGCTATCGTTCGCCAACTTGGCCTCGCGCGGCTGCAACTCGCGTCGAACTGCGTTTACCGAGCGTGCTTTCGCGCTGGATGTACGCGGATCCGAACTGCGGTATTAGACAATAATGTTAAAACTTCAATAACAACATTGCCGGCTGCCTATTCAACGCAGCAAGTTAGAATTTCGCTGTTGACTTGGTTCGCGTCTGTGAATGAGCCAATGTTAAACCCAGTTGGCGTCGAGAGACCGTTAACGCGAAATTTCCACCTTCTTCGCTGCAACTTGCAGGCGAAATTACCCACCGACCGTTTGCATCTTTTATCACGCGCCAAGTTTCGGCAGCCTCGCGCGAGACACGGCTGCAAATTGATCTGCATCGTTCAAAATGTAGCGCCCGAGCGCTTGAGAATCATGAAAGTAAAAGCACGTTCTGTAATCGGATGAAAACGAATTAAACCGGTCGTTGTCAGATAGAGCTAAATGGATTCCGCGAGTATCCGATATTTTCTGAATAAAAATGTTTCTCGAAAAACCGGAAATCGTGTTTTCCATGTTACGAGTTTCTATATATATTTCAAACGTAACACGATTTGCGATAAGATTTTTCGGATAGTCATCTTCTCAGCATTAAACGGTACGTGGCTCGAAAACGTGGAAAAACACGGACGAAAAGCGATGGAACGACATGTACGTGGAATTAATGGCCGTCCTAGATCGCGAGGATTTCGTGGCGAGGAAGATCAACGTTTTATTTACACATTTCTGGTTGAATTTGGCCAGGGGTGTTTAAGAGGGCTGTCTAAACGATACATCGGCGCTTTCATTTCCGTTGGGATGTTTGCGTGGACGCCGCTCGTTCAGGCCGCTCCGACAGCCGTGGATATCCAAGGATGTTCGACGTGCAACACATAGAAGCGAAGGGAACAGGATTGTTGGCATTGTTTCGACAGCGTTGCTGCGATACGCAACAGGTACCGGTGCCACCTTTATTCTCTGAACCGAGCGTCGAATTAAGAATCGCGACAAGTACGCTTTTAATTTGAAGGGACAAAGACTTTCGCTTTGCAGCGTCCGCTCGCCCTCTCTGTCCCGTGTATCGCGATGCAACTCGAAGAATCCGTGGGACACTGTTGTTCGAATCCCTCGGGGGAATAAAGTTCACTTCATTCGCGAGAGCGTCGAGGTCGAGTAAACGCTGCGGATATTCCTGCATATTTGTTAATCGAGAAAGATAATTCGATGATTCGTGTTTTAATTATCGAGCAGGGAGATTTTCGCCATATTATCGCGTCAAAGGAATTCCACCGTTATCCGGCGCGCTATACTGTTTTGCATGTCGTGCCAAATTCATGCAAAGCGACGCCGATTAAAATTCGAATGAAAGTAACCGCGTAAAAAATTCCGACTCGATTCGATCTGATTGACGATGAGGCTTATTTCGACGATAATTTAAATATCCATATATGCATATATCGGCGAGCACACGATTAAACGCGATGGATCGATTTCTCGCGTATTACCATTACGTAAATGTCATATCTCATTTAGCCAGAGAGGAATCGGTGCCATTCGTCGGACCAATCGTACCTCTTATCCCTGAAAGAGTCTCTGTTATTTCGAAAAACTGAGATCAAAGTGTTTTCTTAGAGGATACGAGGACACGTATCAGTCCGAGTTTTAACTAGCAGCGACGTCTTTGTCGTAACGCGATTGCAGTTTTTGTTTGATGCTTTCCAAGACGCTTTACGGGTCGTTCTCGTTGGCTTTTGTCGTTAGAAGTAGTACCGGCATTCGTCAAAGGTTCGCCGCTCGAAGTTAAGAACTACACTCGACCATAGTATCTGCCATGAAAAGAATACGAGGATACGTACGATAAAAAAAAAAAAAGAGAAAAAAAGAACCAGCTGATCTTTTTGAATACGAATAAACCGCTTGAAATATAATCCAATTTAAATTTAAAGGAAATTAAGTCGTTCCGCTGATAAAAAATCGTTTATCCGATTAGCCAACGGTTATGGCACGACGCGCTCGCTAACTTATACCCACCGGTTCGTTTTGATAAGCGCGCGGACAATCGCAAAGTGGCACTAAAATTGACTGGATTCTATATTTACTCGATGCTTTAAACAGGAACGCATCAAATATTGTCGTTAGTTTATATCCATGGCGGTTTGGCCCGTCTATCGACAATTTCTGAAACCGCTAATAACAGCCGTTTGGTTGACGAAGTGTCACACGCCGAGGCTCGTACGGCCATAATTTCGTTAGATCGATTCATTTCCCGTTACAAAATCGAATATGGTTACACGCACGCATATATATTTCAATTGGTTGGTCGGTTTCACGCGTCACATCCACGAGACGGATCGCGAAAAAGCAACGATCAATGATTAGGGGACAGTACAACGTTTCCGTTGCAGTGAAAATTTCACCGAGAAAGTTAATTAATTTAGTTGAAACATACGAGAGATTTAAGGCCATTTTCGAGCGGGTCGGGTCCCGAAAGGGACGCGCGCGCGCTTAGGTGTTTAATTTACACGGTGAAAAGGCGTTTTAACTACGTACTTGGAGCCGGAGCGTGGAATAGGTCTTGGGATCGCTGTGAACGCACCATCCTCCACGAAACTAACTTCCGTGCTTCTCGTGGCGTCGAATTCCGGCGAACAGCTCCACGTAACGGCGGTCGCCTCTGACTGGCCTTTTCTCGACTTGGCATATTCTATTACTCTGGCGCCATTGTATATTATGTCAGCCATGCAGCCACGCAAGTAATCCGTGTGCCCTGCGAATGGAAGAAAATTTACGATGGGAAAAATTTACGACGCTCGCGAGGTGGTCACAGACTCTTGGAAGCAAAAATTCACGGGATTTTTCGCGATCGAGTGGAATCGACGGTTCAAAGGATTTCGTTCGAGTCATTAAAGTGACGGGCGTTTTTTTCTTCTTTCCTTTTCGAATCGCGACGCTGGCAATTTCCTTTGCGCGAACTGCTCGCGCGAGCGAATAACAAAAACGGGCGGATATTAAACTCGATGGCCAGACGATTCTTACGAGTCTCGCGGAACGTTAGAGGGGAACACGGTTGGCGCCCTTTGGCACCAGTTCACGAGGTATTATTCAGCGGCAGAGGTCTTGCTGAAAGAGTGGTGTAATGAAAGCGTCAGTTGCAAACCGCATCACCCGGGGTTGATGCCCAGATAATCTCAGTCCCGTTGACTGCCAGAGAGAAACGAACTAGGCTATCGAATCCACCTACCCCTCCCCGCCGTACACTCGCTAAATACAATTCAACGAAATAATCGCGCCCGTAACTCGGTCAGTTTATTGCAACGAGGCCGATCTAAATGGGTGACTTCGGCGAAAAGCAATTTATTTTCCCGATGAAAAGTGAGCCTGCGAGCACGATCGAACGAATTCGATTCGTGTCATCGGGCTAGAAGTTGGCGTCGGTGCTATAGAGACGTAATTTTATGGAAGCTGCCGACGAGTAACGCAGTTGCGGCAAGTTAACGCGAGACTCATAAAGACGCGAAACGCCGTACGAGTGTTTACGGGCATCAGGGGTTCGCGATGACATCTTCCGGTGTGGCGGTATACATATATAAGCCCCTGACGGCAGTAAAGCCAGCCATTCACAGTGCGGTAAATCGTTCAGCCCGCAATCGTGCCGCAGCTACCATTCTACGTGATCCTCTCGCGTGCTTCGCGATTATATTAATTGGAGAAGTTTCGAGGACGGTTTTTCCTACAGGCGACTAAAGATACGGTGGATAACCGCTAAATGGACCGAGGTCACTGGAAAATGACCCCGTTCCAAGGGGGTTGGAAACTTCGAACTGCTGTTGCAGGATTTTAAGGAGAGCCGGGTGGTTTTGTACAGGTGCTCGCTGAATGAAACGTGAAATGAAACTTGGAACGAAACGTGGAACGAAATGCTCCGCACTGATTCGAAATACCGGACAAACGAGTATCATTTTGCTCGCGTAATCATTCGGCAATTCGTATTCGTATTAATTTGAAGTGCGCGGACGAGTGGCTCTCGCTCAGTGTATCGACGAAAGAGAGAGAAAGAGAGAGAGAGAGAGAGAGAGAGAGAGAGAGAAAGAGAGAAAGAGAGAAAGAGAGGAGGTCGATAGAAAATGTACGGCCGTTGTTCTTTCGCGGATGAAAACGATTATACGGCGTACTTGCGACCGTGAAAACCGGGCGGCCACAAAATAAATAATTTTCGAATGTCGCCACATTCAAGGCTGTTCAATTTATTTGGACGTAATCGTGATCGAACGTTCCACCGATGGAACATTGACACCGACGTCTCGGGTCTATACTTTTATTGATTTTCCAATGTCGAATGTGTATGTATCTGGCGTGTGTGTCGCGTGTTCTCGATATTTTTACGCAGCGCCGGGAAACGGTTCTTCGATAAATGGATTTCATTTTTAATGATATCCACGTACAACGGGGATAAGTTTTAATTGAAAGTTAGCTACTTCGATTCGTTTGTTTCCTCTCTTTTCTTTTCTTTTTTTTTTTTTTTTGAAGTCACCAGGTTGGCTTAATCCACCAAAAGCCGAACGAAGCATCCACGAGTCTCGGGAGTTAGATTAACATCCTATATCGGTCTTATGTATATTTCAGCGAGATGGAAAATGAATAAGTTGACGCCAACTTCACGCAAAACCATCACACCTCTTCACCGGTGTCGTGGCACGGTAACGAATTCGTGGGATCGTCCCGGTAGGTTCCTCTTTTTAACATCGTGCTCGAACGCGCGACGACTTTGTATACGAAGAATGAACGAATTGTCAGAGAGTGGCGCGGCGTAGACGGTCTGTTCGCTCCTTTTCCTCGTTCTTTATTCCTCGACTCGAGAAATTTTGCGGCGCTCCTGCAGGGCAGCAGGAATTAATAAGAGATTCTGGAGGGGGTGGCGGGCCACGGCTATGTCGTACCATGGGGTACAAATGAATTGTCATGAATATGCAAATTGAATTTCTAGCTGGTCGTCGAGCGTTGCGCGAGATGCTCGGGGGAATAACGGGGGGGTGTGGGCGGAGGGTGAGGGGCAGGGGACGGGGGAACGAGCGTCACCGGTACACTCTCTGTTTGTACTGATCGTATTCAATTTGGTACGCGTCATCTCGGTCGCCTTCCGATGAATTTTTGTTTTTTGCAGTGAACTTGCCCCGTCTCTCTATCGCTTGGTACTCTGGCAACGCGAGTTATTGCCGTTTTGGCTCGAGGCGAGCCGCGCCGCTCATCCGCGCGCTGTGATTTAAACTCGCGAAAGTGGCTGCGAAAGATACACAAGCGGAGATACGCGAGGGACAGAGCTCGACCGCGCGGAAGCTAGATAAAATTCGCGGCCGGCAAAGCCGAATCTCATTTCGGATTTGCGATTTTAATGCAGTTTTCGCTCAAATTGATTCTCATCGAGGGTACGAGTTTAAAAAAATAATCGAACTTTGTGCGAAACAAAAAAAAAAAAAGGAAGAAAGAAACTAACAGAGACGCGTTTACCAAAATTCCGTCATCGAGAAATACATCCTTCGTTTTATGACATTTGGATCATTACAGCGTTCAGATTTAGAGCGACTCTAGTTAGCGTTTCTTTCGCAAAAAAAACAAATTAAAGTATCAAACCAAAATCAAAAGAAATTCAAATGCTATGACGAGCATCCTCAGCAGCTTTCACGATAAAAAAAAAGTCATTTGATGCATTGATCGATCGGTCAAACGGGTTGCGTTGCTGCAAAAAGTGCGTATACATTTTTCGTAAAGAGTTACTTGTGTTGTATTATTTTTAAAAATTCCTTTGTATAATCTTAGTGCAGATCAATGATTGGAACACAAATTTCGCTCTCTCTGTTTTCGAAACCGGCGTTTCTCTTCAGGCAGCAGTTATAAACCGTACATCCGATTTACGATCTTATGATTACGATTAACGGGTCAGCCATCCCGGATAAGCTTCGATAATTTCATCTTGTCTCGGGGAAGGAGATCGATGATCGATCCGTCAGCGACTAGAAATTAGGTTTAGAGAGTACATCCAGTGTCGCGGTGACCTGCTATCAGAATATTCTCTGTGCTAATCTTGCTCAATGACCGTCGCTGATGGTTCACGTCAGTGATGGATGGAGTAAATATCCCCCATGACGCACGCTAAATAATATTTCGCTAAATCGATGTCGAAAGATACTGGCCATTTAATATATGACGTGAGTTAGTCTTGTTATTCTTGAACCTGGTATTAAAAACGATAGCCATATCTGTATTTGTTTTTGTATCGCTGTACACCGATCGAGATCGGAAAGGGAAGAACTTGTCGATCAAATTATATTTCGTTGTTACTAGGAAGAAAGTTATTAGATTCCAGTGGAAGATTCTATTAGGGTAGAAACGTAACTATGGGAGTGGAAACGAAATTAAATTACAGTTGTATTTCTTTCCTTAAGTGGAACACTCTATCTTTTTATTCTCGGGATTTAATAACGTACGTATAACAATAGTCCGAGGATGTTCGAGATCATTCGAAGATATTAGATTCGTATTGTGTATTAATGATTATCGTCGAAGAACAGTGGATGTTTTTTTAACGATTGCTTCGTTTTACTTTCTTGCCGTTCTAAAATCCTGTTCCTTTCTGAAAATTTACTACATTTTTAGAAAACAAAATAACGAGAAACAATCTTGACGAGAATAATAAATAATGTAACGTAAAATGTAAAATGTATTTTCCGAATGAATTAATGTTATCATGTGACAAAGAAAATTATTGACAGAGAAAATTATTGACAAAGAACACTGTTGACATTGTTTCTCACTCTGAAAATCCTTTCATTCGCCATTGCATTAGCCATTTTACGGACGATATAATTATAACATAATCGCGTAGACAGTTTGCAGTTGATAATTAAGTTCACGCTACTTGCAAATTTGATCGTATTCGAAATAATAAATCGGAACATCGAGCTGCCGAATCGCGGGCTTCGTTGTTTCTATTATACGCAAGCGAGAAAAATCTCTCCAATGGAGTAGGTATTTCGCCGCAACACACGCAAAACGAATATTCAAATCCAGCTGGTTGTTGCCGGGCCGTGATCACGTAACACGTACCTCCGGTCGTCGCTGTATAATCCGTTTGCAGTTGTGAAAATATGAATTTTTATATATACGAGAGGTATATGAAAAAGTGGAATTCGAAGTGGAATTCGTCAAATCTAGTTCGACTGCGCCAATGAAATATTTTTTGTCGAACGTCCTTATATTGTTTTTCTATTTCAATTTAAACCGTGACGAATCGTCGGCGCCAGGGGTAAAAATTTATCAATGAAAATCTGGGTCGGAAAACTTGGTGGACGGCCTCAAATTTTATATATATGAATCTGACAGATTTTAACATCCCGTTGGCGATCTTATTACAATAGATATTGTTTTAATATCTATTATGTATCTCCATCAAATATTATCTAAATTTATATTATAAATATATATAATATAGTTTATATATTCATTAAAAAAATATTGAATATATTAAAGATTGAATATTGAAATATAATTTTATTTCATTTATTGCTATATTACGTAACTTGGCTTGTACTAATGGAAAGTATAAAGGGAAAATAATATCAAATTCTTTAACAGTACATGTAGTCTTGCTATAACTTCCATATAAAAAATATTTCACTTTTAAATATATCTGGACACATTTCTCTCGAAAAAAAAAACGTGGATTCGATTGCTGCACCCGACAGTACAATTACAATCCTTCAACAAACCAAACAAGAACGAAATCGTAGTTTTGTTCTGTATGAGAGAAAGCAACGATCTCGCTTTAAACGTTATATAGGAATTGCAATAGGTATTATGAATCGACTCGAGGAAAAAGTATTTGTCTTCTCTTGATCAAACCATGAAACTTCATCAATATCGACGCGCGATAGCGAGGCAGGGGTCCCCGCGTTCGAAGCGAGGACGTAGTAAGCGAGTTCAGTCACGTGGCGCGACGATTTATCCGAGTGAGTCAAGCTTGCTGGTACGGGTCTTACCTAGAAATAGCTCGTTAAAGTCACCCTGTCCCCCGATGAAGACTCCGTAGTGTATATTCAATTCGAAGAAACGTCCTGGCAGAAGAGACCTAGTCGTGTGTATCACGTCAATCTGTAGCGTGATATTCGCCTCCCGTCTCGTCAGATTCACCTCGTGCCAGCTCAGGTCGTTCAGTGTCAGTCCGCGGGCGCTGGCCATCTCGCTCTCGCCGGCGCCTAAGTTTATGTGCACCTGCGGAAAAGAAATCGAGAGAAACGATCTTACAAGCCGCTCGACCATGATAGATGGAATTACAGGGACATTGATGCTCTGACAAAGTTATGCAAGTTCGCCGTAACTTCTCCTCTCTGAGATAATTCTGCTGTCGGGGAATTTAGATAAGCCGACGCACAAAAGGGGAAATTATCCTTTTGGCGGTGTGAAATCTCGGAATGGAGTTCTAGGAATCTAGAAATAATGTTTTCTTTAAAAAAAAAAACCGATGATCCTACATTTTCTCACTTTTTTTTTACTTTTACTCGGTGCTTTCGCACGGGCGTTGCTATCTCTTATTCATGTATGCAGACTGTAAAAAAGGGCACTCGGAGAACGTATTAAATGTTGATCTTTCCTGGATCATCTATCGCTCGATTATCAGATTTCTCCTCTCAAGGAGATAGCGCGTAATCCGCTGGAACTCGTCTCGGCGAGTTTTTTTTGAAAAGCAGCAATATAAGAACGTAATGGCGCAAGAAGCGGAAGAGGGAGAGGAAAGTAACTCATAAGGAATGGCGTGGCAGGCAAACAGCTCACCTCATAATCCTACCTTTTATTTAACAAAGTTACTCGCGCCGACTTCTAACTGAATTAGAAGAAAAATTAGCATGTATTTAACGCAGCATTTGTTTCGTTTAAAATCCGCAAGGAACAGTCGGTCCCGGTGAAAAAGGGGAATGGCCACGGGTAATCCGGGTACTGGTTTAAAAGAAATGGTTGACACAGTAACCAGTGTATTTTATTAATCCAGAGCCTCGACCCCTTCGCGTAGATCCTCGGTACGACGCCACGAACGGGGAAGGGATTACGCGCAGGTCCTTTCTTTCCTTCTCTTTTCTTCTTTTGTTCTTTCTTTTTTTTTCTATTCTTCATTTTGCGGCGTCTTGGGCCGACATTATGAGGCGGGTTCGAGTAATGCATTATCGAGTTAGGATGGTACACGACGCGCTTTGGCGAGAGACGATGCGGCAGCCTCTGATAAAGAGTCTTTAATCGCGACCTAAATCGACCGACCGAGACTTATAGCCACGTCTTCGTGTAACTTCCACGATCCTTTCCTTCCTCTCCCTCTGCTGCTCGTTGATCTTGCACGGAGGAACGAGCCAACCAGCGAGACAGACCGCTGGTAGAATCGTGTCTTAATGAAAAGTCGATCCGTTCGCAGAGACCGGTTGAAATTACGAGAGGGGGGGCACGAGGCCTCGATAGTAACACCGACGGCCTTCGGATGGGTCTCCTCTCGTTTCGCGATCGATTTCGTAATAAAGGCGTGAGCTTTTGCGAGTTGCAAGTTCGTGCCGGTAGTAGCGCGATGTCCGATGACTATGCAGGACCCCATTAATATGTATAAGCGCAAGAGACACGACACTTCGGCGAGTGTAAACGCGGATCTATACGATTCCGAAGGTCGGAAGAGACGACCACCCTCGGCGCATTATCGATGCACCACCACTCGATGGCGATTGGAAAGTGAACAGTGACAAATATTCGACTGTTGGATTTTACGATCGATAAAAAAGGGAATTTCGACGGGATATTGTTATCAACAACATTTTCGAGACTGATGATGTTGCGTTGTTTAATACCTTTGCTTACTGTCAATAGCCAAAGACGTAATACCTGCGTCAATTTCTGAATTACATCGAAAAGGTCATTCCACTAGGGATTCCATCTTTGAAGAGGTTGATGATTGGTTTTAGCATTTTTACACTAAAAATGAGTATGCTACAAGCACGATCGTCAATATATAAAATCAGCGATAGAATGGACACGTGTTATTTAAACATGGTTAAAAAAGACTCAAGTTACACCTGTGAGAGAGGAATCAGATTTACGTTTAGACAAATGTTTCGTATGATATTCTAAAAATTTCAAATGATATTTATTACGATTACAGAGTCATGACTGTTATATTTTTGCGATAAATAAACGATATATATTCGGTGCTATGTAATAGAGAAATGAGTTTTTGTGATGATGATGCGTACGATGCTCTTCCAACAAAAGAAAATCATATTGAAATATACTCGTCCTATTTCAACACGAGTTTAATTGCTGCTAATTCTCCACTTTAAGTGGAAAAATATCTTTCTCAAATTCGCGCCAGTCTCGAATGTGTTAATCGAGAAATAATATCGAATCAATGGAAACGTTCCTTTCTCTCCGCCGGGGAAACAATACAGTGCAATGGGCAATAGAATAAACATCCGCGTGAATTTAATACGTTAGTTAAACGATCGTGAGTAAACGATGCCTCTCGATGTCGACGAGACGCTTCAAGCCTTCGAATAATTGAACAATCGTGACGACCGAGAAGATTTCGAGCGTGTAAAACCACGAAACGGGTGTTACAGCGAGAGACGAAGCCCGACAGACGAACCGAAGGCACTGCGACTGCGACTGAAACGATTCCATTGCATTTTTTGCTCGGCCGTTTATCCCCTTCTCATCCTCCTTAACGATCTTCTTAACAAATTTAATTAAGGCCAGACACCACCCACTCGTCTTCTCATGGTTCGACCGGTGGACTTAACCCTTGGCGAAATTAGATTCGCGCGGTTTTCACCTCGGATCTTAGCGCACCGAGAAACGGCGTTCCCCTCGTTCCCTAATGCACTTAGACGGTATTTTAACACTCTATCGCTGTACTGGATTGCCCTGGTTAGTCATCGTTTTAAAGTGCAAAAGGCCACGACGGTTCGACGAGTTTAAATTTTGTTGGATAACGTCGTATTAATCACGCGCGTAATAGCATCAAACGAATAGGTTTCGCCTTCGTAATTTTCTACGTTTTCGTAGAAGGATTTAAGACGGCTTCCCAGTTCAGGGGGAACTGCTTTCACGATATTCTGGATTTTTAGCTGAATTATATCAATTCGTTTCCGGCGTCTTGTTCGGCCAGCTGAATAGGCTGATTGGTCCGCAATTTTCTGGATTTATTAGAGCTCGCAAAGGCCGACGTTCTTTTGTCGTTTTTCTTCGTTTGTTGAATTAGATCGAATTAGAGGTTCGCTCGAGAGCCTTCGTTCCCATATTTGTGCAACCGTGCGATCGTTTTGCCTCATCGGCAGTGAAATCTGAGAAACCTTTATCGCGGAGTCGGGAGATTTTTGTTTTCTCGTTTGGTTATCGTTGGTTGTTTGCACGGTTGTTAACTCGTCATCATGCCTGTTCTCATTTGCGTGATTTAATATTAAAATAAATTACACGAAATTTTCAATAAATTTTAAATTATATTCCAACAAAAAGATACTTTTATTTAAAATTTTTAACTTCCTCGCCATTTAAAAAAGATACTTCTTTTTACAGTTTATATCACTTCAACTTGTCCTTTTTGTTTCCTTTTTCTGTGTCGTCTACGTATGTAAATTCGTCGTAAATTATTTTTTTTATCACTATTGAAGCGTGTTGCGAAATAGAGAGAAAAGAAGATAATTCTACGATCTTTGTTTCATTAAGTGCGAAAAATATCGGCTGCGAACGCGTTGATATTAGAGCACACAAATGTGAACAGACACGCTAACGCGAACCCAGTCAGCCCATCTTTTTAATTGGAGGTTACACGTTCGCAATTCCTAACGAAGATTCATCGCCACGGCGAAGGCGTCGCTTGCGTCTATCGGTCTGCGTTCGAACGTGTTCGCGAAGGAGGGGAGTCGCGATTCTCTTCCATTAATCGCGTTAACCCCCCCCCAAGTTAATGCCAGAATCAGTCTAAAACGTTCAATCAAGAAGCTGCGCGGCACCGATTCAAAACGCCAGTGTATCCGTTCTCGCTAAAGAATATTAATGAGGCGAGCGACGGGAGTCGAGCTAAACCGCTGACTGGCGATTAATAGCGAGCACTCTGTAAATGTTTCGGTGCATCGTGTTTGTTTCTACTTACCAAGCATTTGTCGTGTTATGAACGCGGCCATCGGATATAATATATTCGAATTAAGCGTAATGAGACTCGCTGGATAAACAACTATGTTTCTATGTATTTATCGTTAGGAAGTTGGTGCGCACACATTCCAACCGGCTTCTGTCCCACCTACCTATATACAGTGTTCGCTATATACCAGCGATTCTTCTCACGGATTCGTAATTTGTAACTAGAGCTCGACGACGATTACTATCTAAGAGCAAAGTGGCCCATCTGGGTTCCGCGTTGTCCCCCGTGCGTCGTTGTTCCTCGTAATGCAACCCGCCGGTACGCTCGCTGCAGCAGTTTAATCCCCGTTGCAACGAGTATTCGTTCCGGGTACAACGACGTCACGGCGTCACTGGTGATCGTTAATAACCGGTGGCTCGTTAATTCGAGCGTCGAGAACCGGGTGGTTGAAATTCTCGCGTTATCTGCGATCCCCTACGATCGAGCTGCTCCTCGCCGTGTTACGGCAAAATCATCCGAAACGGAACGGTCGTATGAATGTCTCCGACAGAACGCGCACGGGCAAAAATTATGATAAATAACCCTCTGACCTGACATAATTAAAAGAAACGAGTTTCGCGGCATCGTGTTTCCGTGTCTTTTTTTTTTTCACGTTAGACCGTGATGTGTACATACATATGTATCTACGCTGCGCTGGTCTTTTTTTGGAGAGGGCAATTTGAAATCGCAGCTCGCGCAGCGGCACTTGAAACGAGAAAGAAAAAAGAGGAATGTCGATTCGATCGCATTTTTATGGGAATTATGCACGAATAATTTTCACGGTTATTCGCAAACAGAATTTTTCACGGTAATTTACAGAGAGCCGTTACATCGAAATAAATTACAATGTTTTATTTCACCTGGCGTGCGTATGAAAGTTAAATTCGAACGCGTCATATTTAATTCAATTAAAAATACTGGCCCGGCACCGCGAGCCGGGCGATCGTATTTTTTAAACGCGAAATCTCTCTCTCTCTCTCCCCGCGAAACGCCGATCGATACGGGTTGTAACACCGTGTTTGTTTCGTCTAGCCTACAAAGGCGATCATTTCGTCAACGCGTTAGTTACACGACGGATTATTAAGGACAATAAAATTGAATCGCAGCCGTGTATTTTGTATCAACGTTTACGTTTAAACTCATTATTGGCCTGGCGCTTTGACGTTTGGCTCGCCGTTTTTAAAAGGAATTTAATGCCTTGCAATTGGTTTAAACAAAGTCAAAGGGAGGCGTTAACTTTGCTCGAGAGTGAATTTTCTGAGCGCTTTTTCTACGCGACGGGGGAAAAAAAGGAAACGACAGGAATGGAAAAGAGGACGAAGAGGAAAGCTCGTTGTTCTTTACCGATAAATTCGATTCTTCCACGAGTTGTATCGATTTGTTCTGTATTTCCTTCGTTTGACCAATTGCTTGCTCTCCGCGCGAGCAGCGGCATACATAAATAAGATGTTTTTATTTGCGGAGTTTTAATGGTACGAATAAAACCGGTCAACGACGCGACGTTAAAATCACGACACGGTTTTTATCGAAGTTATAAAACCGACCGGCGGAACGTCGTCGTCGTTCGTGGCCGTGTGCGTGAAAATCCTCTGTGTCTCTTCTTTCCCATTTCTTTTTTTCTTTTTTCGTTTTTCCTTTTTTCTTTTACGGCGGCTGCCGTTTTAACTCGATGCGTCTCTCCCCTTCTCTTTTTCCTCACCCTTCCCTTTACGTATCGAAGTAAACGCAATTTCTTTAGCGAGGAGACAGTTAGGAAGATGAAGAGACAGTGAGAAAGGGGAAGAGAGAAAGAGAGGGGGGAAGAGAGAAACGTAAAGCTGACTGTCGCGCCGGTTGGACCGACGTAGCACGTGCGGTTGGTTAACGACGACGAACCTCCAAACAAAAAGCCTATTAATAGAAGTAAGCATCGAGGGCAAACGAACCTTCAATCTGCCAGCTTCGAGTTTGATCAGGCAGTAATCCGTCTTGCCAGCGGCCAATAGCAGCATAGCGTCCGCGAGATGAGTTCGGAACCGGAAGCTGATGTCAGTCGCACCCTTAGCTTCTTGCACCGGAAGATGAATGTAGCTCGCGCCATAGAATGACACTGTAATAAATTTGAAAAATTTATTCTTCCTCCGTGTCGCAATTGTTCAGCTATCGATGTGTGAAATATGAATCTGTGTGTGTGTGTGTGTGTGTATATATATATATAAAATATATATTTGCTCGGTTCTTTAGGCTAGGCCATCCAAAACGTGTATAAGCTTCCAAAACGTTCGTAGGAAGGAATAAATCTTCGTTGGGTATCAATATTTCGACTTAAAATGAGCTATATAATGTCGCGTATATCTTTGCACACGCATTAACACCGTATAAATCTTGTGTAAAATCCATATCCATTATCAAAGAGAAATTGTCAGGGAATATTGTTACGATGCAGCTTCCGCGGATCGTTTTTTGAAAACGAGGAAATGGAAACGAACGAAAGCAATGCGATATAAAGACAGTAATAATAATTATTTCAAATGTTTTTCAAGGCTACAGCATATAATCACTTTTGTAGAATTGTGATACGCAGTTTGATATTCGCCTTGTGCATTCGTGGTGAGAGTGTAAGTTATAAGAATACGCGTAATGCACAAAATGCGTAGAAATATTCAAGGTACTTAAAATAAAATATTTATCATAATATATAGCAAATAAAATAAAATTTCAATTCAAGTTCTATTGCTTTAACACTCGAACTAAATCAAAATGGTCAAAATGACCAATTTTACAATTTTCCTTAGAAATTTCATAGATGCAAAACAGTGTATTCAGACATTTAAATGATTTTTCTATATTCTATTGTATTATGAAATTTTCTATTCTTTTTTTTCTTTTTTTGCTTGAATGTCTTTGATGAACTTTTATACTTAAATCGTCGCTAGTTCTAACGTTAGTCATGTTTGTAAGAATTTAAAAATTCATAAAAATCCACAGTCTAATAATAGGCGTGATAATCGTTCGAAGATCACAATGGTCATCAAGGCCGTTTTATTATGATCGGACAAGTTAAAGCCCAAGTTAACCAATTGGAAGAGTAGCTTGTCATCTTTATTTGCGCATTCAGTATTCTGTTCATTTGATTCCTTTTGACGAGAAGAGTCACCGATTCGATAATAGACAGACACGGATAAACGAAAACTTTCGAAACTGTCGGTTATTTCTTTTTTCAACTTCGCGAGCGGAACGCACGTGCATTTTATCGACGAAAATGTCCGTTTCTCGCTTGATATCGTAGATGTTTAAACGATTTAATTCCCCGAAATTTAGTCAAATCGAATTTGACATTTCGATTTATTGAGCCTTCGCACGTTCCTGCGCTTCGGTTTTTGTTCCTTTTTTATTTTTTCCTCTTTCAACGCATTTTCCGTCGCCGCGTATCGCCGTGCCAGTTGAATAAAAATTCGACGCGTGCGTTGAAACGTGATTAAAAACTTTGATAAATAATTTGCGCCGAGGTAGAAAGATACTACGTATCTGATGCACAGTTAATCTCGCGTCTTCTCGTCTCTTTCGCTCGTACAGACTTTTACACGTTTTTTCACCGTTATAACAATATGCAATACGCTGCTGCTTGCAAATTATTTATCTTCTGACCGTGGAGTAAAAAGGTCGGTGGAAGTTTTTATCGATGTGAAATATTCATCTGCCGCGCGTTCGCGTCTGTATCAAAGTGAACTTTTGCCTGTTTAACTCGCGGTGTCGGAAAAAATATGGAGAGCTCGAGGTGAAATAAAATTCGGCTATGTCTTTGTTTTCCCCGCGATGGGAAAATAAAGACATCGCCGCGACGAATGAACGAGCGACGCCGCCGGACACGTGCCGGGTTTAATTGACGTTTCGCCGATCTTTATGGAGCTACGATTCGATATTTTTCATCGCGGCGGTCGATGCGCGCTCGATCGCGTTGAACACGATCGCGCTGGGAAGGAATCAACGCAGTAAAGGGGAGAGACGATGGGTATAAAGGAGAAGCCGGTGAAAGGGAAAGAAACCACAGTAAGCGATTGAAAAGCCGGGCAAGACCGATGAATGAACGACTTCAACTCCTTTAAACGACCGTTGAAGAAGAGATCTCGCATCTAGCTGTATACCGAGAAATCGGGCGTCCTCCGAACGCGCTTGGTCTTGTAAAGAGTTTATTTCCCAGCGGCGTGTAAATGATCTAAGAAAGCGTTCGAGTACGTACGAATAACCGCACGGGCCATTAACTACTCAGACTCTTCTTTTTGTCTGCCCTCGTGTTCGTTCTTTCATCTTTCTTTCTCTCTTTCTTTCTTCTCGTTTTCGTTTCACCAACGATGGTGGCGTCGTTGAACACAAGTATCGCTACGAACCTGCGAATCTCGACCGCGAATCGATTTCATCGATTCGCGTTACCATGCGAATCGTAATATTTGTATTCGGGCATAACGTTCCCTCGTATCGCGGTTGAGTGTACATACGTAGTACGGTTCCCAAACGCGAACATTGTAGAAATGATATCATACGATAATAACGCGTGCCGGTAACTGGAAACCGCGTTGATTTTTGTCCTTTTACCCACGGCCGGTTTATTGTTTTCATGCTTCGGGTTGTGTTATATCCGCGCGCTAGGCACGGCCCAGAAATAACGAGGTCGAGGTTCTTATCCAATTACAAGCAGATTTTCTCCTATCGGAAATGTTCATCGATCGCGCTAATTACCGAGATAATAGAGCACGAGGCAAATGGCAAAATCACCGTCGCTCCGGGGCAGCCGGTTTCTGCCCCAGGCCAGACCACCTCCAGATCGGACCAATGAACACCGTTCTTAACTACCTGACGTCAGACGTTTCCCGGTATTATACGGAACACGGTCTTGCCTATCCGTAACTCGCGTATCACGGATGACGGAGTAACGAACGTGTGTCCATCTTCTTTTCGGATCCCTCAAAGTGATCCCTGTTGGTGCTCGAGACGAGATGAGAAACTACACGCGAGACATACATACATACATACATACGAGTGTGTTTAGTAGAAACGGGCGTCATTTCTTTGGAAAAAATATTCTTTTTGTTAAAGATTTCGCACAGACCGAAAGTATACTTAAAATACTTTAATTGTATAATGCTTTTACTCAATTAATAGCGTGTTCAATCTCCATCACTAGCACTGGACATGCAGTCCATCAACTTTTCAGCATACGAGCAGCTAAGCTCGAATTCGACGAGGCTTAGGCTTTCCGTTGTTGAGACACGTGTCAGAAACGTTTTCAATCGGACTGAGTGATCCAACGCCGATACCATTTTCCCTTTTCTATTGCGTGCAAACGCGGCTCAGATGCTCGGGATCATTATCTTCCTGAAGTATCCAAGACTGGTTTCTTTCGTCAGACCGGTGTTTCACTTTAAAAGTCCTCTTTCACACAATTTGATCGTTTGTAAAGATGCACAAAGTTCCAAATCCGCGAACATTAAAGCAGCCCCAAACTTTGCACTTTTATTGGACGTTTAACAATTCTCTGGACAATTGGATGTCTGTGAATAGACCAGACGATCGTTTGATAGGATTTGAAAATGTTTACTGCGCCTTTACCTGTCTCGTATGAAAAGCATGTGCAAGCAATCATCGTTAGTGGTGGAGATTGAACACATTACTGATTGACCGCGTAATGGTATTGCAAAATTTTTTTATAAAAAGAATATTTTCTTTCGGAGAAATGGCGTCTACGTTCTTATTAAACACACTGTACGTACGTACGTACGTACGTACGTGCAATCGTCGTAACAGATGCATTCCGTCGGTGGAATTGGTTTCACTACGGCACGGCGACGTACCAATCGGTTTCCACCGAGTAACTAGAACGTATGTATATATAAAGGACAGACCAGCTGGATAAACGGGAAGATGACTGGATCGCGATCCTGTTTCTGTCGTATCGACGGATTCTGATTTTCAATGGTGGGAGGGCGCGAAACGAGGTGGATTAAGACGGCACATTTCGAAACCGTATTCACCGGCGATTTTCATACCCGCGCGCGGGGAAGCACACCCGCGTTCAATAGAGATTTTGGCTTTTCACCGACGATTGGCCGATTGGTTAAGCGTCCAGCCGCGTTTATCAATTAACAAAATCTGTCGATATGCTATTTTCGGCTGAGAAAGCTTTTCGAGCCCGCTCCGCTTTTTGTTGAAGCCTTCGCTCCCGTGTTGGCCGTGTCCCCGTAGCAGTAATTTGCGAGCAAAATGATGGATTAGAGAAATGGGACGCGAGATAAACGGGAAATTGATTAAACTCCGTGTTACCGTTGCCATTTCCATCCGTGATGTTCGGTTAGATTGCCTTCGACGTCCCGACTATTACGTAGATACGAAGCCGGAAATCAAGAATAGTCTATGTAAAATTGATAGCGATAAATTTCGTTTCTCTCTCTCTCTCTCTCTCTCTCTCTCTCTCTCTCCTCCCCCACTCTCCTTCCCTCTGGCTCGGCTACAACGAAAAATACCGGGTAATTGTTTTTCCAAGCTTCGGCTGAAAGTTTCTACCTCGTATAATTCGATCGTTGGCGCTCGCAATATCCACTAAACGATGGATTAGCCGGCTAAATGAAAAACTGATTACAGCCTTGTCGGGTCGGCGGGTTTAACTTCTATCTATCCTTTCTTCGTTTCTTCCTCGTGCCTCTCCTTTTTTTATTTTTCCCCATCCCGCTGAAATTGAATGCCCGGGTCGAGATCGTTCCGAAACCGAGTTGATGAAGTACAGGTTCACGTACAAACTGATAACACTTGCAAATGCTGGCGGTTACGCGCAAATCCGTCCGTTCTCCCCGGGGAAACGCCGTTTCAGATAGGAAATTTTGAAAATCTGCTAATCGGTCAAGTTTGTGCTTTGTTCGTCGAATAACCGGCGCGTATGCTCGATACGGAGATTAATTGACGCTTTATCGATGCATCGACGATCGGTTAGCGATGCGTAGAGCCTCGAATAGAGAGATGAATACGGTAGCTAGTTTCGTTCTTTTTTTTTTCCTTTTTTTCTTCTTTTTTTTAACGCGGCCCATCACGCGCGGTCTTGTCAAGATGAGAAATCACGATTCCGTGTTTTTCAGCTCGTTCCGCTTTTTCTTTCTCCCTTTCTATCGTTAAAACTAAATATTCCGAAAGCATCGGTTGATTTATAAACTGCCGTGTGCTCCCTATCGCTGTACGTCGAATCATTAACTCGAAATCGTTCGAAGGGAAATAAAATGAAGAGCCGATATTGCACGGGATAAACGGGCTATTGCCCACTCGATGTAATCGGCTTTGGTAGATCTTCTTTATTTATAAGTCTTAAGTGCAATAACACGTATGTACGTATACAGTGAAAGTCGAAACATTTAATACATTTCGACGACGTTTGTCTAATATTTTTCCTAGAAAGTTTCTGTTAAATTAAGATCTGGAGACTGAAGTGGAGCGTCAATTGATTCGGAGTGTTCCGCAACAACCAATCTTTAATCACTTTCGCAATATGCTCGCCGTAAGATTCATGAATCTGAAGATTGAACTTTTGCAACTAAAGCTTGCAGCTAAATTCAGTTTTAAGATATCTGAATATCCGAGTTTGTTCATAGTACTGTTAAGAGAAATGGACTTCTCAACAATTCTCCGACTCCAAAGGAAGTCTACCTTTCACCATAATATTACCTTCCACCTGTTTAACGAGCAACAAGATTTGTTGCATCTAGATTTGTAACTTCTTGAAATTCCATAAACATTGCATACTAACATTGCGCACTATTACAGTTTTTACTGATATTTACGCTTCATAAATGTTATACGAATCTCATTTTTGTTAGGTACGTACTCACGCTCGATTCTCGTTGTACTTAAATCTCGATTAAAAAAACAAAAAAAAAAAAAGAGAAAAAGGAAAAGAATATATTCGAATTGAACTGGCACTCGAGTACAGAACTTAAACAAGTCGATATCGATCTGACGCGGTTAATGTGCCGTTGAAAGAGCGACAGCTATAAATAGGCAAGAACACGAGACGAAAATCGTCGAATCACGTACCGTACTCGCGGCAATTAGAGACGATCGAAAACCGCTGCGGCAGATGTCATATTTTCGTATTTCTCGTTTAGTGTCATTGCACCCGGTAGAAAACCCGTATCTCATATTATTGTATATCAATTTCCTTCGCTTCAATTTATTCTCGCGGAGCGAAATGGCACCGGGGGAAAAAGACTAATTTTATAATTAATATTTGCTACGGACCTTCCTGTATTTGCTATTTTGTTTACTTTAAGCATCGAGCACGGTCGAAAGAGAGAGATAGTTCTTGGTTCTAGCGCGATCGATGACTCTAATTAAAACGATTACGCGTATTCCGCGCGCAATCGGACGCGTTACGTTTCCCTTTTTCTCGATACGTTCGGTGATTCTTGAATTACCGTCGAAACGACTATTTCTCTTGCGATATTATCCACGGGGATGTGAGCTCGGCTGAGCTTGGCAATTCATTTTTCCGCGCGCAAAGTCTCTCTCTCTCTCTCTATATTTTGTGCAATTTTTCTTTTTTTTCTTTCTCTCAGGCCTTCCATCGGTATTGTATCGCGGAAATTTCTCGACCATTCGAAAAGAAGAGAGAGAGAGAGAGAGAGAGAAAAAGGAAGAAAAAAACGAGCGAACAAGTAGCGTTGCGGCTATGCCGACGCGAAATCGTCGCCATAGTCGTAGTGGGGGATCGGAAACTTCGTCGATCCAGGGATGGATTGTCGAATCGAATGTCGGCTCTAGAACGAGCGACGTCGTATCCCTCTGTGTTTACGGCTGACGCGTTTTCGTTGGTTATTAAAAGCACGGGCGGTAGATGGTTAGGTCATTGAAAAGCGGGCCGGTTATCGGGGAGTACAAGTAAATACATTCGCCGCGGCCATACACCCGTTCCCCTCCCCCACTCTCCGCCGGCCATAAAAGTTAATTCCCGTCGGTGTTTGCCGGTTTTCCATCGCGCATCCCTGGATTTACGATCGTCGCGACGGCAACGGCCGAAAGTAAAGCTCGCGTTTCTTTCGTCACCGTCCAAGGGACGTCTATACATTACCTTTTTCATCTGTTTGGCAATAACCCAGAAGGGAGGCCGTTACTGCTAAGAACATTAGCAGCTCCATGTCGTTGAGAAGCATTAGGCACCTTCCTGGACGTCTTTTCTCTTTTATATCCCTCTCCGTTTCTTCGTCCAAACTCTCTCTTCGTTTCCAATTGGAGTCGCGAAGGTTGGAGAGAGATTTCCTCTAGTTCGTGTCCCCCGACTCGCGAAAGGGGAAAGAAAGTTTGCGTACGCTCGTTTTCGAACGGTCCAGCCGGGGATGTCGCCACTTAAGGGATATCGAATCCGCGTGACGGGAATTACGACGGGCTATTTACAGGCTGGTTAAGATTCCAGCGTGCCCTTTCCATCCATCTGGAAGCGTCGTTCGTCGCGCACAACACGGGCCACAACGACGTGCACCGGTCTTCCTTCTGTCGGTTTTCACCGTTGACGTTGATTCACCGTCAGACGGCGACGTGTCTCCTCGACGTGTCTCCTCGACGTGTCCCCTCGACGTGTCCACGTCGCGTATCGTCGGGTTGGCGATGGCCGCGCGTTTCAGTCAACATCCACCCGTCTCTATTTTCGGGCACGAGTCAAAAGGCACCACCGTCAGGCCGGAACAACGCGGAAACGGCGGCCGCTGTAGCTTGTTTCGTATAAAAGTGTAAAATTGAACGGCGCTGCTGCGAGTATCGGTTCGACTCGGTTCCCCTCGCTTCTGGGGAATACGCTTTATCCTTTGACCTGCTCCTGGCTGGCATCGTGCACGTACGCTCTTCGTTTCCTGCACCGGCGAGCCCGTTCGTTTCTAAAAGGACAAGCCAGGGTCTACGGTTACAAAACGGCAGCCACGCACGTGTCCCGCCTTGTCACGGGTTTGATCAGCGAAACGGATCAAGCTTTCGGATTGTACACGTATCCGTACGCTTCGGTCTCGACGACTCGACTCAACTCGACTCAACTCGACTCGATTCGATTCGATTCGACTCGCCGCGCCGCGTCGCGCCGCGAGAGCGACACTCCACGGTCGATGCTGTTTTTGTCGCTCGAGGACACAGAACGATCGTCTGGTCGTCGGATCGCGTTTGCCTCTTCAACGCGACACTCGTACTTTCGAATGGGAATCGTGGTCTTCTTCTCGAAAGTAGACGTTCGTTCCCGAGAGGAATGTTTTACAAAAAAAGGGACGAATCGTCAAAACTTGGAGCATGCTTTTCGTGTTCGTCGAACCGTCTAATTCAGCGTCGTTCCGTCGGACACGTCGCTTTCCTCGCGGAGCGACGACACGCTCGCCACTGGAATTTCATCTTTCGAGGAAGAATCCGCTCGCGGTCGATGTTTTTTCGCGATCTTTCTTTCTCAATCAACGCGCGTGTCTCCCGCGCGAACGAGATGTACCTGAAATTATAAACCTCGAGCTCTTATCACACCTCTCCGGGAGAGTCAAGGATCTCCATCTGATTTCTCTCGCTGGTTTATTTGCTTCTAGGATCGCCTAGTATTTATCAAATCCGCTGAAACAACTTCGAGCCTCCGCTTGATGACGATAACCTCGAACGCGAGCGGATTTTTAGCGCGTCGATCGATTCGAATTCGGAAGGGAGGAAAAGGATTTTGCCACCTGGCAATCTAAACATTTAAACAAGCTAGTTAATCCGGGATTTGCCATTCTCTTCTCTACGCTGTCGCCTTTCACCCTCTCTCTCTGTCTGTCTTTCTCTCTTTCTCTTTCGTGGCTCTTTCTCCGTTTTTTCTTCCGCCGTAGTTCAGTTTACTTTCAGGCTGCGAAGAGTTTCTCGCTAGACGAGGTAAGTGGAGGAAGAAAGCACCGTGTCGGACCGGGTGTTTGATCCTCGCGCGGCCGCGTTTTGGTTTTCTACGGAATCTCATTTACAGTGACCGAAACACGGTTGACAATTCTCGAGTGCTGGGCCAATAAAAAGAAAAAAAGAAAAAGAAGGAAAAGAAAAAAAAAAGAGAGTGAACGAGAAAGTTGGATCGACGTGGCCATATTTTTCCTACCCTGAACCCTCCCTCGATTTGTTCTCCCCAGTGGTACGTTCCGGCACAACGACCATATAGCTAGAACAGGAAAAAAAAGGAAAAAGAAAAAAAGAAAAAATAAAAAAACCGTAGTCGGCATTTCTATTCAACGAAAAAAAGAGTCGAGTACAACGGGAAACCATCGACCCCTCTGTGCTCGTCTGTTGTACGGTTACCGATATTCATTCCCGCGCGATCGAATGGTACCAGGAATACGCGCTCGTCCGTGGAACCAATCCACGAAAAACCCAGAGAATCTGCCGCTACCTGTCTCCTGCTCGCGTGACTCGAACGATCGTTTGCGTTTTCATCGAAAAATTCCCTCTTCCTCGACCTTTCTCCTCCCCCTCCCCCGAAGATATAAATATTTCAAGGAACGGGACTGGGAGGGGACTTACGGGGGTGCATCTCGCCGCGGACTGAGATCATTGCCGATTTTACGGAGTCTATCTATCCTCTTTACGCCGCGGAGATAAACGTTTTCCCGGAGTGCCTTAAACCGAGATAAGGAAATGTACGCGATATCTTCGAAAAGTCGTAAAGTCCGTGGATTTCCATAATGCAAACGTGCCCGATGTGTACGTGTAGCGTGCACATACGCGTTCATACTTTTCTTTTCCCTTTTTCGACGGAAGGAGATGCATCTCCGAACCTTTCCCCCCCCCCCCCCTTCCGAGTTCCGATATCGGAGAATCGGTAATGTTTACAGTGTATTTACGTTTCCTCGGCCCGCGGTGAAACGTAAGGTACGAGCCAGAAAGAAAGAAGGAACGCCGCTAGTACCGATAGTGCCTACGCTCTACTTTCGTCTAATGTAACAAGCTTTCGAACGGTACGTCTATTCGTACACCGGCAACCACCTCTCGCTAAGAAGATAGTCCCCGTTCCACTTCTTTCTATTCTGTTCCCTGGCTATCGAAAGAGGAGGAGACAGCGTCGAGCAGCAGCCGATGATAGTGTCTGCCGACAGCGTTGAGCAATCGATCATGTTATTACGTTTAATCTAACTTTTACCAACTCCGGCATAGAAATTTAACCGCGGTACCAAGAAAATCGCCCGGTACTAAGAAAAGAAAAACCGAAAGAGAACGATTTGACGTCGTAATAAAAACGTACCCTTTCCCGAACGAGTTATCGCCCGCGGGCATTCTGTCACAGCGAGAGAGGACTCGCAGTAGGCGAACGTTGAAAGCACGCGAACGTTGCAGGAAACGGTAGAATACCGATTTCGGAGATGATGAACGTTCAACCTTTGTCCGACGAAATGCCTACGAGGTACAATTCTCATCTACAGAGCGTTCCTCGTAGCGTTCCATGCTCGCGGTGGATCACGATATTCGAGGAAAGTCGAGAATGTTGGGAGCATAAATCGTAGCGACGTAAATATCGTTCTCGTTCCATCCTCGAGCGAGCAGATTTTTTACCGCAGAAGAATTGAACTTATCGCCGAGCGACGGGACATTCGTCGTACGTCGGACTGCGCCGACTTCTTTCTCTCATCGTGAATCGCGATTGCCTCGTCGCGTAGAATCAAGAACTCGAGCGAAGAGTCGTGGGATCGAGAAGTGTTTTTCATTCTTGTGCCAGCCCGATCGAATCGTCGCGAAACAGACACGCATGGCCACGTCGTGTCTGAGAGACGTGGACCCTTTCGAAGAGGCATACGCACGCAAAATCTATACGGGGTTGGAAGAGACACGCGCCCACGCACGCGGGAATTCTCGCGAAAGGAAAGCGACAGCGGGGACCACTCCGGGTACCGATACGCGCGACCGACAAAAAAAAAAAAAAAAAAAAAAAGGAAAAGAAAAAAAAGGAATTATGCAGCACCTCTCGAGGAGCTGGACCGAAATTTGCATCCGCGAACCGTGACTACCCGGTTCGTATATCCTACCCGGGTTGACGAGAAAGCCTGCGGACCCGTGTAATGGCTCACGTACGTGAACCCGAGCACGCGGCTGAAATTTAAACCGTCACTACCACCAGCATCCCTAGTATCACCGCCGCCGCCACCACCACCATCACTACCACCACTGCCGCCACCACCACCACTACTACTACTACTATTACTACTACTACTATCACCACCACCACCACTGGCCAACACTACCACCACTGCGTTCGGTATCGCGGCATGCAATATCACTACCCACCCTTCGCCGTTTCACGGTGTCGCGAAAGAGAGAGGTAACACGGAGCCGACGGTTGCAAGAGTGCAGGAAAAGAGTTGTAGGAGACAGGTTGACAAGCCCGGACCGGCGCCCGGATTCGTTCCGAACGATCGCCAGAATTCACGGAGATGATCGAGCTTCGTACACCGTGGTGACGTGGAGTTTCGGCGTTTCATCCATTTCTCTTCCGAATATTCGCCCGCTTCTGGCTCGCCGCCGGGGATTTTAACCCGGTGTGTTGGTCGTAACAGTTTCGTCGCGCAGACCGGGGAACTCGCCAGCAAGCGTCCTCGGTAGCTCCGTTTTCACTCGTAGCCGTCCGTGGCACGCACCGCGCCGCACCGCACCGCACCGCACCGTACAGAGGCAACGAGCGTGCGTCCGACCGACCAACGGTGGAACAGAGAGGGTTGAAAGAGAGACGGAATCGAGAGAAGAGCAGCGTGCTTCGACCGGGCGTTCCTCGGTCCTCCTCTGCCGCACGACGACTGAATCTTCGGGGTGGACTGGGGAGGCTGCGCGCAGGGTCGGCCCCGCTCGTTCCGGCACCCCGACTCTTCTTTCTTTCTCTCTGCTGCTTGCTCCGTCGTATTCTCTTTCTCCTTCTCTCCCTCTCTGTTTTTCTCGTTTCTTCTTCCCGGACCATCTCAGTTGCGTCTGCTTGACATTTCCTCCTCACCGAGCGATGGGTGAGTGTTCGATCCCCCTCTGTCGCGAATTTTTAAGCAATTTACTTAACGACATATGAAGATCCTGCGTTACGCGGTTTTTCGAGAGCGAAGACATTTGTAGACGCGTTGACAAGTTCTCAAGCCAAGTGAAAGGACTGCGGTGTTCCGAAAGTAGAGGCGGGATGGCCTGGCCTCTGATACATTATTTCGCACAAAGATACTGCAACGGAGGCACGTTGAACACACGCCGAAATTATTACCGTCTGGCCAATTCGACGAGAATTTAGAGATTCCAAATATTTTGTTAAATCGGGAATTCATTCCGCGGCCCGGTGGAAATTCGTTAATTTCATAGAATTGAATTCACAGCCTCTCGAAATTTATCGCGTACAGCATCGTGAAAACTAGTCCCCTTCCCGGTCTCGCCTCGCGTACCTTGTACCACTCTTCAACCAATTTTCTCTCGTCTCGTTCTCCTCTTTCTCCACCTTTATTTTTTCCACGTGCCTCATTTTCCTGCGTCGTTCTCGCCCCCTTTTTCCTTCTAGTTTGTTTCGTTGAATTCTTCGTCGTTACATTTCTCTCTTTACTTCTCCTTCCCGTTTCCACTCTTGTTTCCTGGTTTTCTCTCGATTTCTTCATCTCTCGTTCTTCTCTTTTTCCATCCACTCTGTCTCCCACTCACGTTTGTTTTTCTCTCCCTCGTTCATCTCCCTGTCTCGTCTCTTTCTCCGTCCACCACCTTTCCAGCAGATAGCGACGTTGGTGGATACGAGGGCGGATGGAGGAGGCGGCGGTGGTGGAGGCAGCGGCGGTGGAGATGGTGGCGAGCCGAACTACGGGGCAGATAGGGATGCTGCTAACTTTTAGGATTTCTCTTTGTAGAAAGACGCGTTTATCTCGGGTTCAAAGGCAGCTGGAATTTTTAGCCGCGTTACACCGAATACCAGCGGTACTTTTTTATGAAAAGGTCGTCCATGAATTTCTACTATTTCAAAATTTATGCCGTTTCCCTCCTTCCTCGGCCCTTCCTTGATGATTAATAGTTGAACGACGACGACGACGACAAAGAAGAAAAAGAAGAAAAAGAAGGAGAAGGAGAAGAAGAAAGAGGAGGAGGACGAGGACGAGGGCGAGGAGAAGAAGAAAAAAAAGAAGTATATGGCGACGACGACGATTCGCGCTCGTTCGTGCGCGTTTGTTCAAATTACGTTTATCTACACTTCCACTTGGCACGTGTCGCGAAACAATTGCGGTTCCTTTTCCTTTTCCCCTTCCGATTCTCGTCATACTCGGGAGTTAATCGCGGGGCGTTTAACGGCACGAATGGGGAAAGTCGCTGAGGAAGAAATGGAGAAAGAGCCAAATCAAGTACTGCGCGGCAAGACCGCGTACTTGTTGAAAGTTGTCCAATGATCTTTCCCTGATTCGATAAGCGTGCAGTGGATGGAACTCACTGGTAGAAGGAGGGGCAGAGGGGAAAGCAAACCGCGGGAAAGCGAACGAGGGGGAGGGAGAGGGCGAAAATATCGAATAAATCGAGCTTCCGTTCAGGCTCGAATCGCGGGAGACGATAACTCGACGATTACCAGGCAAAGTGAGAGAAAAGTAGGGAGCCGCGAATTTTCAAGGCTCCCTCTCTGCTGTAACTTTACGAGTGTAGAAAGTACACGCGGTGGGAAATTTTTGTAAGACCCGGAACGAGCTACGCCGGGGATGACGCTCGCTCGCTCGCGTTCTCAAGAGGGCCGTTTCCGTTCTCTCGAGTGCTTATCTTCGCGAATCGCGCACGTACGGCAATTTCAGGCAAATTGTTTGTAGCTAACCGTCTGCGGATTCAAACGAGCCTATTACCGCTTCAAAACGCGTTTATCCGCCTCGCTTCGCAACGCGATGATATTCCACGAAGATCGAAATTCTTCGAGTTCCGAGATCGTTCTATCGTGAATGCTTTGCTTCTCTTTGCAACACCGCACAAAGGTTGTTAGCCGTATCGCGGGATCCACGCGTTTCATCGATCGTCGCATATTCCGACGCGGGTTACATCCGCTGTAAATTACTCAAGATGCGCGAACACGCGCGCCACATTGTTAAAAAGCCCGATTGATCGTCGTGCGTGACTCGGTAAAGCGTAAATGTTTTCGAAATGCAAGCCCGTGGCCAGGTATTTATTGTATTTCTATTGGCGGATCGATCGGTCGAATTTCACTGTATTTCCGTATGAATCACGGCCGCGGCACGTAGCAAACGACCTGTGTCGTATTTGACAATACGCTCGGATCGTCCGTGGCATTTCAAATATTCATCTCTCGACGCGCAGGTTGAAAGTACGAGAGTGTAGTCGGCTTGTTTTTCGGGAAATTAACGACCGCTATTAAATGCGTTCCACTCGGGGCAGTTGCACCCGAGCCCGTAATTAACACGTCGCACGCGGAACAAAGTGATTTGCAAATATTTGGTAATTTCGAATATGATCGTAGCACGTTTCGGAACCTGTAATACGGTGCTCGTGACGCGCCGCACCGCACACGTTGCCGAAAATTTGCTCGTACAGAGGAGGCGCAGCTCGCAAACGTCGCTCGCCGACGTCTTTATCGATTCTCTTTGCTCTTCTTACGATTCTCGCGGAGACAGAGGAGAGTATCGATTGGTCCTCATGAAACTTTCGTCGTGCAAACAGATCCAGAGATCTCCTTATGCCTGTCGACGAGCTACATAACGGGTTGATTTATATACCGTGGCTTCTTACCGCGCCTAGTTTCTCGCGTTTGAAAGAACAGATACCTTCGTTCTCTCATTCTGAAATTGACTCGCCCCGGGGGATGCATCGTCTCGACCAAAGACGAACAAGGCAATATAAACCAACCCGCCGAACACGGAATACGTTCCGCGATACGAGAGATACGACTTCGTCCGGGCGCTATCGCTGCAACTATTTTTAATTTTCTTTTTCTTTTTCTTTTTCTCTTTTCCGCTGAAACTATTGTTGCGCGCCATTTTACTTCTTTTTACGGTATGCGTTGTTTTTGACGTAACGTTTCGCTTCCGAATTTTAGCGCGACCTTCCGCGCCCTCCCTTCGCTCCCAATATTCGATCCCTTCCTATTAAATTTCATTGCGCGTCCGCGGCCAATCTGGCCGACAAGCGGTCTTTTGAATTCGAATCGGGGAAATTATCGAACGTGTTTCCACACCTTTCGAGCTAATGGACGCGCGCGTCCTTCGTCGTCGAAGGATCGCGTTGTCTTGTGATGCTTTCAGCTCGAACATTTTCTCCCGCCTGGTTTTTCCTCTCGTCTGCTCGGCCGTTTGTCGGTTTTCTCTTATTGCGCCACGGTTATGATCGCGAATGTTTCAGCCTCTCGAAGAGATGCAAACATTTCCTCCGAGACGATACTAACGCGACTCTCCGCTCGTCAATCGGGACCTTTTGGCAACTTTAACGCCGGTGCAAACATATTCGCGTGGGCCGCGTCGCGCCGACATTCGTCGGCTCGATGGTTTGTTCGTCGACCTCTCGTCCAAAGAAAGGAGAAGAGTTTATAAATATTTCGCAGTTTTGCAGCGCGACCCTCCCAGCTGCGCGCGTTAGAAAATAATGTCTGGAGAGAGGTCTGCACGGACGAGGGCGAGCCATGGAGCAGGTTCAACCCTTCCGGGATCGATAAACAAATTTCGAGCACGACGGAAAGGAGCACGCGTGCACGGTTCGTGCATTGTTTGGTCAGCTGTTCGATCGTCGTTCGATCAGATTAGTTCGATATCGCACAGACGTTTCTTCCTCCGATCGTTGATCTTTGGATCAATTTCCACTGGAAGGAATACCTTTTCGTTTCGAACCAAGCGGAATCTATCACATGGATTTTCGTATTTTGCCTGTGCTCTCCCGGCGCGTAAACGCGGCGAAGCGACGACTAGACGCGGCTGTTCATCTCTTGAAAGATGTATCCCGGCGGAGGAAAAATCCTTAGTTAGCTCGACTGTGCCGAGAAAATTGGACACCGGGGGTTTTCTCGTGTAACTGATTCAATTACTGTCTGGTTTATTGCGCGTCTCGAACATTCATCGCGATGAAAGAGGCAGAGGGGGCGAGGAGAGGAGGGAAAAGCCGGCTACGGAAGTGGCTATTCGAGTGGTGCCGTTTGATCGAAAACTTTATGCGTTTCTTAATATCTCCAAGGCGAAAAATGAATCGTAATCCCGAGATTACAGCCGGCTGCGTTTATTTTCACCGTTTTATGCACGAGCTCGTTGCTCGAGGAGGATCCAGAGGGGAGGAAGGACAGTATTTCTCGAGCAGTTCTCGGTAATAATTTTGATATAATCACGAGGCGAGAGCGTCTATGTTGGAAAACGGGAACGGAAGTCGGTTACTGAACCGCGAGCTACTAGTAGCACTGGCGAACTGTTGCCTACGTCGTGCGCGTAGATTTGTACGTTAGTTTTGAACAGTCGTAACCGCATCCGGAAGTACGAGTATCGTGTACACCTGCGTTTAGAGTATTACGTGACGTGTCGTTGTTACATCGACGATACGATGTGACATGTGTGTTACACATCACAGTTGTACTGTCGTTTAAGGCTGCGAATTTCCCTTGTGTCGATTACTGTTGCCCTCAGTTTAATCTCCTTTGAAACGTAGCGAGAAGAAGAAGAAAAAAGAAAGACAGAGAAAAAAAAAAGGATTTCCCTCGAAGCAAAAGAAACAGACGATAGAGCTTAACTTGCGTTACGCTCTCGTCTCTCTTTTTCAACCTCTCGAACTTTCCTTCGACGGCGGAAGAAAAACACGAAACT